ATAAGAATTGTTACAGTGCCAAAATATGTATTTGGAATGCTAACCCCCAAAAGATTATCAAATACTGATGGCCACAAATTAATTTGTTCAGCCATCATTACCCAGAGCATCTGCCTACAGAATATAGGACAGTTTACCTAAATGTTGACAAAAGATCAAAGTGGAGCTGGGCGTGGTGGTACACATCTGTAGTCTATCTCAGCACTCAGGTAGTGCTAAGTAAGTCTCAAGTAGGAGGACTCTGGGTGTCTGCCAGCAGTGAGAAGGCTCAGACACTGGAGTGGTGAGATCCCTTTCTGTGTACAGACTAGTGAGGAAGACACACTAAAAAAGAAAGTGATGGGGCACTGAGAACAAACTGCGCACTTCTTTAGGTTGCTCAGTTCCTTTTAGCAAAAGTTTTTATGTGATGCTGAGAATTACTTTCTCAAAGAACGTGGGAGCTGTCCTTTTTTTTTTTTTTGAGACTGCCCACACGTGGCTAGAATTTAAGTTCAGTGAACTCTTTTAGTTGTAAGGAGAGAGATACTCTGATTGCCTTTAGGAGAAGGGATGTTGCATAGATGAGTGGCAAAGTGAGGAGAAGAAAGTCAACAATGAGCGAGTCTCCAGGGACCACAGAGGAGGACCTGTTCATGGCAGTTCCACCCAGCTGCTACTGCATCTGCAAGATCTCAGCATGGTCTTATTCTTATATCATCCCCTCCCCCCGCCAACTCCCAACAAGGCATCTTCTTTGCTTGCTACTCTAGTCTTCTAGCTTCTGTGCTTGAGCTAGTAGCCTCTTCTTTTCTCTCCACCCCCTCTACCAGCCATTCTCTTCTCCACCTGGGCTTACATTCCAACTCTCTGGATAAAAACTTACTTAGAGTCACCTGACATTGAGTAAGAGAAGAATTTCAGCACAGTTAAGAGATAGTCAAATTAACAGTGGCTTAAATCAATAGTGGTTTATGTTTCCTCTCATAACAAGAGTCCAGAAAGGTGGGTAGTCACATACGTTGGTCATCAACTCAACACTTAGCCATTAATGACTCAAGTTTTCAATCTTCTCATTCTTCCAGTTTTAGCTGTTGACTTTTCATCTTCTATCTTATTGTCTTATGATTGCAAGATGGCTACCGTAGAACTAGACTCATTGTGTCTATATTCAAAACAGGGAACTGGAAGAAGATCAAGACCACCTAGCTTTCTTGTTGCATTTGTTCTTTCTATGAGATGAAAAAGTACTCCAAGAACGCTCTCCAAACTTCCTACATTCATACACACATACTTTTGCTTATGTATCATTGAAAAAACTATGTCATATGACTACACTTAGCTGTCACAAAGGTTGGGAAAGAAGTATTGAGCTTTTAGAGCCTCTACAGTGGGAAAACAGTGAGAGTGGAGAAGAGCTGTTAGCAGACAGCTAATGAACAGTGTTTGCCACTGTGCCACTCACTGTATGTGGCATCCATCCTAGGCAGTGCTCTAAAACCAGCCATCTACTAGATGACTTTGCTGTCTATGGATGGATAACTGTCATCAAGCCAGGGCTTGGTCAGACATGATCAGATGTCAGCATGACAGCTAAGAAGAATGTGTAGGACAAGAATAGACAGTGCTTTGTTTAGTACTAGTATGACAGCCAAACACCTTTGCATTCTCATTTGACACCCAATTATAGCTTACTCAACCATAAATTTACCCAACCTGCTTCTGTTCCACATCTTTCTATAAGCTTGTTCTGTTCATTCATATATTTATTTGATAAATATTAAAGGAATGATAGGCACTTGTCCAGGAGATATGGCAGTGAAGAAAATAAGGGATTTAATTTCCAGAAGTAAAGAGAGCTAACTGAAAGAAATTTTATACGTATGTGTGTATACACATATTATGTACACATACACATATATGAATATCTTAAATCTCAGACTAAACCCTTTTTTATGCTCCTATAATCCTGTTGTTACCTTACTAATGATTTCCACAATTTAAGTAATTATTTGTGGAGAACATATTACACACATACACACACTTATACACACACACACAATTTCTATGAACTGTCCAGATGGTAATAAACACAACAACAAAACAAAGTTAAGTAAGGGGCAAGGTGGAACCAGAGCCCTGGACAAGTGTGAGAACATCAGCAAGCATATTGGCTATAATTTACATAATGAGCTAGAGAATTCAGAACCGTATGCTTCAGCTGCACACTTTCAAGCTGTGTCCTGTAAAGGGAAGCAGGTACTTCCTGTCCTGGAGAAAAGGGGAAGGAAGTGCACAGCTCCAGGGCCCAAGCACAGTGTGTGCTACACCCAGTCCCTGTTCCCACTGGATCATACTGTGCTTCTAATTTATTAATTTATTTTATTTAGCCTATTAACTTCTAAGCCATACAACTGTGGCCTTCAAAATGTAATCCTGTTCCTGAGCAACAACTTCAGTGTGTACTTGTCTTTGGAATGATCACCCTACATTTGCTTTCTTGGTGTTAAAGATTCACCTGAGGCTATAGTAGGCAATGATATATACTTGGATAGTCTCCAGCCTTTAGGCATTGGCTATTTAAGGTGGAAGCCACTGCTTACTTGCTTCTGTGTTGGCTTTACAAGATTTATATACTGGATTTAAAAATATGTATATTTTATTGATATTCTTCCTACCCTTCTTAGCCTGTGACCTGCCCTGCATACCCAATTTTATCAGTATACAACATAATTGCCACTTCCTTTACACAGAGTCTCCTAAGAACTTAGACTAAGTTAAGTCCCCATTTATGCCCCTTTAATCTCTTTGCGCTCCTTGGGAATGAAGTCACAATTTTGGTACTTATATAATATTTGTTTAATGCTTATCTCCCTTAGTAGACTGTAAGCTTCATGAGGGGAGGGCAGGGGCCATGTCTGTCTTGCTCAGGTCTGTATCTCAGTTCCTAGCCTTGCTGAACACACATGGAAGCACTCAATAATATTTAGTGAATTAACAAGCATCTTTAGCCTCCAAGTGACCAGCACAGTGCCTTGGAAAAATGTTCCACAGTGGATGCTGTGATGATAAAACGTTGCCCAAATCCTTCTTCAGGAATAGAAGACTTAGTGCCATCTCTTCTCTGCCACAGGGGGTACTGCTAGTAGATACCCTCAGCTGTTAGCTTCTTTGGGGGAATAGCTCAGCTAGTCATGAAAGCTCCAAGCCATGTCTTCATTTAGAGGTAGCTTGCATTCAGTGCTGGAACTTACAGCCATGCCCTCATACCCATTCCGGACACCTCTACAAGGCCACCCCAACCTCAGAGCTCCCATGGGGTTTGCTGAAGTCTTTGTTGGGATGGCATCACAGATCAACTTCTTTCTCTGCCCTACTTCTTCCACCTCTTCATGAGGGTTTATATCAACAAAATTCCAGGAATAAATGCCCTACCCTTAATCCTCACTTCAAAGTCCACTTCCTGGTAAGCCTGTGATGGGCACTACAGAAACATTTGCAAACTGAGTATTATAATTGCTCCTACTCTATAAATCCTAAAGATAAGTTATTTATCCTTGCATCTCTATAATGACTAGAAAGTGCCTTTTATATGGGGCACATCATAAATACATCAAAGGAAATATCCTCCAAACTCAGTCAAGATTCAGTTAAAATCTTCCTGCTCAAAGTATGGTCCTCACACCACTGGTATTGGCATTCCCTAAGTACTTTGTCAGAAATGCAGAATGTCAGGCCCCAACCTGAATCAGACTTACTGAGTCTGAGTCTGCATTTTCACAAGATCCACGTGGTTCACGTGGACATTGAAGTTTGAGAAGTACTGAGCTAATTTATTATCTTAAATTAGCTATTTATTTATATAAATAAAATGACCTAGCTGATAATTCCTATCCAGTTTGTACAGTATCTTTATAAGTTTTTTTTTTTTCTAAAATTTTGCTTAAAACTAGTGTAATGGTGTATTCTTTCATTCAACAACTACTAATGGAGTGCCTGGCAAAGATTTCCATGCTCTAAAGCTTATATTTGAAGAAGGGAGAGAAAAATAAAATCAATGTGCATATTGCATGTGTGTGTGTATGTGTGCGAGAAAGAGAGAGAAAGAGGGAAAGAGAGAGAAGTGTTATGAAAAAATAGGGTCAGGTAAAGAGGATAGGAGGAGAGTGGGTTGCAATTTAAAATTTTTGCAAAAGACCACGATAAGCAGAGAACTGAAGCCGGTGAGATAGTTAACCACATGCATATTTGAGCACAAGCCTTGAGTGTTATAGTAAGAGCAAGGATACCGAAGTGTCTGGAGCGGAATGGAAGAGATGAAAACTAAGATGTGATGAGAGAAGCAAGAGAGCAGATCTTTTGATGAGCGAGCGGCTGCTTAACAAGTCGCTATTTGACATTTCACGGCTTTTTCTCCAGGAATAAAGTCGTTTTTAGCCAAACCCATTCGATTTAGGTTGTGGGAGTTCGCACAAACCATTTCACCAGCGAAGCCTTAGGTTCCTCAAACAAAACTGCCAGAATTAAAGGCCTTTCAAGGGCTCGTTCCATTCTAAAACCTCAGGCTCCAAGACGCCTAGATGGCTAAATAAGGATGGTGACCGGGTGTGGACCGACTAAGGCAAAGGTCTGCAACCCCAGGACGCTACACAAACAGGAAGTGGAACTTCGGAACTTGGTGCCAAGCTGAAACAGCGTAGTAACCTTCGCACCCAAGTTCCTCGTGAGCAGTATGCGTGATATTGGTCGCGAAGGCCGTGTGCGTGGCGAGAGTCAGCTCCTCCCCGACCAGCCGAGTCTGCCTCCCGGCGCCCCCGCCCATGCCCTTGCCGCCCTGGCCCCGCCCACTCAACGCCCCGCCCACACCCAGGCTCCGCCTCGCCAGCCTGGCCCCGCCTCCCTAGGCCCCGCCCCGCTGTTCTCCTCGTCCACTCCAGGCCTTCAGGTCAGAGTCTTGGCCCCGCCCTCATCAAATCCCGCCTCCTCCCAGAACTGTCTACCAATCCACGATCTGCTTCGTTGCTTCGTCGTCTCGACCCGGTCTCCCGTCGGAGAGCCGGCCGGGGTGGCGGACGTGACGCCAGGCTAAGGCTGGAGGGCCGCGCGGGGCGTCTCCCGCAGTCACTCCGGCCCGGGCCCGGAGCCATCGGTGGCAGCATGGCTCTCCTCGTTCTCCTCCTGATTCTTACAGTGCAGGCCGGGACCTGCGTTGCGATGAGCACCGCGGAGCCAGAGCTGTCCTCGGGTACTGTGTCCCGCGGTGGGTGGGAACGGGAGAGGGCGGGAGGCCGGGGCGGGAGCCGCCCCAGCCGGGAAGGTCCGGCGGTCGAGCCGCCCCCGCTTCCCCGCGGCCACGCTCGCCCTCGACCGCAGCACCCGGTCCCGGCCCTGTAGGGCGGCGGCCCTGGTCGCCGCGGAGGCGACACGAGTCACTGCGGTTTACACACTTGCGTTTCGCCTCTTCCGTCTCTGCCCACGCGGCACAACCCGCTTCTCAATATCTGCGGTTCTTTTCGTCTGCCTTTTAGTAAGTAAATGTTCAGGTCAGCATTGGATCCTTGGCCACAGCGAATGACATAACGACTTTATTCTCGGGGTGTGCCCCCAATCCCTTAGGGTCGGGAGAAGTTGTTCTGAGAACTTTTAAGTGGCTGTAATTGGTCCTGAAGTGGAGGGGTGCGTGCACTTGCTACCTGATTTGCTGGACAGCAGGTCCCTTTTCACAGCTTAGGTCCTCTGAGCATTTGATGCCCTCCTGACTGTGGAAATCTCCCAGGAAGCAAATACTGAGGATCGCTTTTCTGAAGCCCACAGTAACCGTGATTCGGCGCTCCAGGGAAGTCAGTAAAGCTCTTCCACCATCCCTCCCAGACCTTAGTCTTGAGCGACTCTGCCCTTTCCAGTTAGCTGCTGGAAGGCCTGGGGAGGCCTCCAGGCCCGAACCTCAGTGTTAGGAATTCCTTCATGAGATCCTATCCCATCCTCCTTTGGCTAGATCTTAAAGTCAAGCAAACAAATATTTAGACATTCCTTGGGACAGACACGATGCCAAGTTCTGGGGAAAGACAATTGTGGTTCTCAGAGTCTTCTTTAAAAAAATCGTGATTACCACAGCCAACAGTTAGGAAGCATCCAGCAATGTTGTGTTTGAACGCATCTCGTTTCCACAACACCTGTAACACTGGTGCTGTTGTATCCATTTATGGATGAGAAGTTGATGAGGCACAGAGGTCAGCCCCACTGCTAGAGAGGTCCGTGCTACTCAGTAGGGAGCTGGGTACTTTGGCTCCAGAGTCCAAGTATTTACCTCTGCCAGCTGCCATTAACTAGGGCACATTAGTCATCTACATGGACAGTTGCAGTATATTGTGACAAGAGCTTGAACCTATGCATAGGCTACAGGAAGGCATGGGTGTTTGACTGTCCCAGGGAGATACAGAGCCACGTGTGTCTGAAGAGGTGAAAGTGCTGAACTGGTAGAATAAAGAGTGCTTTATCACAGACTGTGTGTGTGGATACAGGGGAGATACTATAGGTGGAGAGGGAGGAACTAATTAATGAAGTGCTTTATCGCTTGTGTATAACAGCAAGGGATAGAAACATAGCTTTGACTAACTTCTCCAAAAAGAGTTGTTTATTGGCTTTGAGAATCCCAAGTTGAACAGAAAATCAGAGATGCCAGTGGGGCCTTAGGAAGCTTGATCAGGAACTCAAACTGCTAGATTTCACCCTTTCATGTTTCTGAGTGTCTGTGTTGACAGCTTTCCCTACTTGGCAGAAATCACGGATGCTAATAGTTATAGGGTTTTAAAATTCTGCAGCTTCTTCTAGTCTAACAAAATCCCTGGGGAAGGCTGTGATTTGCCTAGCTTGGTTAGGTGCCAGTTTGTGTGGGAAGACAGGGTTGAAGGGGGTGGGGGTGGGGAAGTTCCCAGAAGACGTGTGATGTTCCTGAAAGAAGAGCAGGTACTGAGCCTACAAAATAGAGGTGGCTGTTCCTGGCTTATTTTACATTGGGGAATGGCTTTATGCAGGATTACATAATGTCATTTGAAAAGATCAGCCATCTTATAAAATAATTTGAGGGTATATGTAGAGGAGGGGGCCCGTTAGGAGGCTGTGTTTAATTCCGGGGAGGAATACATAAGCAGTGGTAATTTAGATGGAGGAGGGAGGACCATTTGATGGACAGTTTAGGAGGCAAAATCAGTAAGGATCTGATTGGATGTGGGCAGAGAGGAGGATGACTCAGACTCCAGGCTGGGACAGAGTACTAGACCAAGTGCCAGGTTCTTCCTCCTGAGCGTGGGGCTCATTGTGACTGCACAGTTTGTTCACCCTCAAAGCCTGTCCTGGGAGTGGGGTTGTCTGCCTGCCTCCCGTGGGAAGATTTGTAGCCTTCAGAGTGCTCTTATTTTATACACACACACACACACCTTTTTTTTTTCTTTTCAGTGCATTTCTCTAGGTCTTGTGTTCCATATGCTTTCTTTTATTAGCACGGTACTGTTGTGCTGGAGGTGCATTGTGACATTTATAAAAGTACTTACAATGTATCTTAGCTAGATTCTGGCCCTCCTTCTCCTGTCTCCCCTTCCCTCTTCTTAGAACAGTTTCAACAGAGCTCATTTTTCTGTTTTCAAACATAAGTACATAATACTTCATATTTGCCTTCCTTTCACCCTTTCCTTATGCCCTCCTCCTCCCACTGGCAGCAACCCCTAGACAGGACCTGTCCTTCATTGTTGAAAAAGACATTTTTGTTTAAGATAGCTAAGCTATGCAGGGAGTTTCATTGTGACATTTCCATGTATGTATGTATCTATTATATCCCAAATTGGTTAATCCCTCCATTTTAGATTTGCATTTCCATTATGACTAAGGATATTGAACATATTTCCATGTATTTATTAGCCACTTAAACTTTTTTTTGAGACCTATGTGTTTTTTTGCCCATTTATTGACTATATTATGTGTTCTTTTGGTGTCCAGTTTTTTGAGCTCTCTGTATGTTCTGAATATTAATACCCTTTCAGGTAAACAGTTGTGAGAGATTTTTCTCCTGTTCTGTAGGCTATCTCTTCACTCTGGTGATCGTTTCCTTTGCTGTGCTTTTGAATTTGATACAATCCCATTTGTCAGTTCTCACTCTGATTTCCTAAGCTAGTGGAGTCCTATTCAGAAGTTCATTGCCTATGCAATGAATGTGTCTTGAAGTGTTTTTCCTATGTTTTTCTGTAGTAGTTTCAAAATTTTAGCTCTAACATTGAGGTCTTTGATCCAGTTTGAATTCTTGAGTTTATAGGATAGGAGATAGTTTCAGTCCTCTATGTAGGCATATCCAGTTTTCCTGCCATTTGCTAAAGAGGCTGTCTGTTTTCTTCAATGTATAGTTTTGGCTCCTTTGTCAAGGATCAGATGGTTATAGCTGCATGGTCTTATTTCTGAATCCTCTATTCTATTCCATTGGGCTACATATCAGTTTCTGTGCTATTACCAGGCTGTTTTTGTTGTGATAGCTCTGTAGAATTGCTTTTTCTAGTTTTGTGAGGAATACCTTATGGGGATTGCATTGAATCTGATCTGAGAACATGGTGGGGGGGGTTCCATCTTCTAGTATCTTCTTCAGTTTCTTCAGTTTTTTCATTGTAGAGGTTTTCGGCCTCTGGTTAGTTTATTTCTTTCTCTTGTCTTATTGCTCTGGCTAAGAATTCAAGTATTATGTTGAATATACAAATAGTAAGAATGGACATCTTCATCTCTGATTTAGAGGAAATGCTTTCAGTTTTTCCCCATTTTACTAAATGTGGGCCATAGGTTTGCCATATGTAGCCTTTATTATGTTGAGATATGTTCCTTTTCTTTCTAGTTTTTTTTCACGGCTTTATCATGAAGTGTCAGAGGCTTTTTTTGCATCTTATTGAGATGATCATGTGATTTTTTTTTCCTGTTCTATTTCCATGCATTGATTTGTGTATGTTGAAATATCCTTGCATCCCTGAAATGAAACCAACTTGATCATGATGTGTGATCTTTTTAATGTGTTGTTGACTTGATTTGGTTTGCAAGTGTTTTATTAAGAACTTTTGCCTGTATTCATCAAGAAAGTTGTTCTGTAATTTCTGTTTTTATTGTGTCCTGGTCCTGGAGCATTTGGTTTGAGTCAATATCAGATAACTTAGAAAACAAAAACAAATTTAATTACTAGCCCCTTTACCCTCCTTCTCTCCTTCTTTTTCTTCTCTCTCTTTCTCTCTCTCTCTCTCTTTCTGTCTCACTCTCTTTTTTAGAGATAGGGTCTCCTCACTATGTAGGCCCAGGTGGCCCCAAATTCTCAGCCTCCTGAGTGTTGGGATTGCAGGTGTGCACCACCATGCCTGACTCCCTATATCCTTAGTTCACAGTTTGTTCTTCCCACAGGGAGGATGATGTACCTGGTATAGTATGCACATATTTTATACAGTCTTTGCACACTATGTGTACAGCCCTTATTTCTGTCCTCTATGCACACCTAGGACATCACAGTGTTAGACTATAGTCCACAGGTGTCCTTACTTTGCCTCCCTTGCCATGCTGCATCACTGGCTACTATTGCCGAGCTGCTCTGGCTACTGCTCTGTGGTCCTTGCAGCATTCCCATGGCCTAGTCAGCAGCACTGCTGCCTCATCTGTTGATCTCTCCCTTGATGGCCTTTCACATCCTCTCTTCTGGCTTATCAACTTTCCTACAAAACAGTTGGCTATATATACCCCGAGCTCCCCCTTCTTTTCTACATTGTAATTAGAGCTTAGTGAGAAGCTGATACTTCCTTGCTGGGTTTGATTTTTGTTAAGCCTTCGGCTTTGTGTTCTAGAGTTTTGGGAATTAAATCTTAAAGTGGTAAAGTTTATTCTGGCTAGCATGCAGACATAACACCAAATAATTCTGAGCCCTTTTCCAAAAGCAGTGAGTTACACAAAACTGTCTGGGCATTTTCAAGGGGTGGCAGAATCTCTAAGATTATTTCAGTCTATGCAATCATTCTAGTAGAATCTTTCTCTAAACTCCATAGATAGTAATATTCTCTTGCTTTTTCTGCATATATTTTTATTTATACAATGTAAATATCTTATGGTAAACTGTAATTATAATCTGGATATATAGCAATTTAAACTTCAGGTTAAGAAATCTGAAACTTAACAAGAAAACTATCCTATCTCTTTATCATGGGATTTTGGCAAAGACAACAAAGGCAGATGTCTAATAACCACAGGGTTTGTCTTCTGGTAGTATTAAAACCACAGTTACATCTTTGGTGTGAATATGCAATAGTTTCTCTTTTAGTAGTGATTTCTGTCCATTGAAACGTCTTCCTCCTACGGGTTTGTCTTGATTGCTTTCAAAGCTAAGGCCTTGTCCTAGCCATGCTAGGCTTTTATTTAAATTATGGGAGCCACAGCTTGGTCCACATTAAAAACTAATGCTGCACAATCTGTTATTGTTTGTGACTTTATGATGTATGATTCAGAAACCCCTTCTAAATGTAAATTCACTTCGATATTCTACAGTTTTTAAATTGACTCCTATATTCCTTTTCCTCAAAACAGGAATTTCAGATTGAAAATATACCATTATAAAGTCATTTCTACCAGGAATATTAAAAAGAGGGACTTAAAAGGAAGTGAGGCCAGGTGTGGTGACTCTTGCCTCTAATCCCAGCTAGTTAGGAGGCAGAGATCAGGAGGATCATGGTTTAAGGCTAACCTTGGCAAAAAGTTAACAAGACTCCATTTGAACAAATAAACTGCTGGCATATTCATGTAATCCCAGCTACATGGGAGTCTTAGGTAGAAGGATCTCAGTTTGAGGCTAGCCCCAGACAAAAACACAAGACCCTATCCAAAGAATAACTAAAGGAAAAAAAGGGCTTAGGCATAGTTCAAATGGTAGAGCATTGACCTAACAAATGTGAGACTCTGAGTTCAAACCCTAGAACCACCAAAAAAAAAAAAAAAGAAAAGGAAGTAAGGAAGTGAAAGACTTACTGTTGGAAATCGGGAGGAGGAAGGTCCTTGCTATGTAGAGACAGAAGCTTAGTGAGTTGCTGTCACCCTCAGTGACATGGAAAGTTGAGGATGTGCCTAATGAACTGTGCAATGTAGCTCAGGAGATCTCTGAGCAGTGCTGACAGTGCCACCTAGTTCTTTCTGCTTCTTGTCTACAGTATGAGCCTAGACAGATTATTCTGGAAAGAACTGTTTAAAAAAGAGAAAGAAAGAAAACAGGACCTGATAGTTTGAAAATTGTCAGCCTCTGAAAAGGCAAAAAATGCTAAAATAAGGAAATTGGCTTCTAAAAGGATCCCAGGCTGGCCTCAAAGTCATGATCCCCATGCCTGAGCCTCCCAAGTGCTGGGATTACAGTTGTGTACCACCATACTTGTTTTCATTATGATTTTTCTTAGCATCAAGTACTTCTTCAGTCTGGTTGCAAAATTATGATTATTTGTATGATTTGTTATTTGACATTGATGTTGAATTGATCCTGAGAGACATAGGAAAAACATAGTTTTTATTTGTATTTAAACAATTGATTGTAAACTGAAGCTAGGTTGTTTCAGGAAGTTGGGGTACAGACACAGCATAGGGGAAAGAAAACCCACAAAACTCTTTAAGGAAGCCTCCTTAATACTGCCCCTGCAGTATTTGGGCAGAGGACACTTTACCAAACCAAAGGAGAAGAGCCAGGGCTAAATCTGGCAAGACCAATGGTCTGGGCTCACCGTTGTGAGTTACTTAGAGAACCCAAGATAATAGATTCCAGCAGGCATCTGCAGTGTTGCAAGAAGAGAAGTAGAAGGTTTGTAGGTGTCTGGGTACTGGCTGCAGAAGGGTCAAGGGTTTGAGTCTGTGAGACAGTGCCTAGCTTCAAAATCTCAGTCTGTTGGCCCAGAGTGTTACACTATTTTGTTAAATAATATGGATGTTAGATATTTTGGCAGTAACCAAATCTATTCTTGAGGAGCATGAAATAATGCAATCATGGTTTACTAGAAAGCATTGTTTGTAAATTAATTTTTCCTCCTAAATAAAAAAAGTATAAAAGCAAAGAAAGTCTCTATAATTTAATTGCCTATAAATGCATATTAGTTACCTAAATGACTTTATTTTTACAGTGTTGAGGATCATACTCAGAACCTCAGGAGTGCTTGGTAAGCACTCTTGTCACTGAGCTATACTCCCAAGCCTCTAAATGACTCTTGATCTGTGTTCTGCTTTGAAAAAATAATGTATTTGTTAAGTGATTATAAATTAAAACAGTGTGACACTTTGGGTTTAAATATTGGAATTCTGATTTTAGGAAAAACATAGAGGTTTTCTTCCACAGTAAGCAAATACCTTATGCACAAAAAATTAATATGTCACTTGATGGATGAGGAAATCTGAAATAATTATGTAGCAATATAACCAGGAAATAGCCCAGGCTTTTTAATGGCTGACCCAGGGAGTATTTTATTTTTTATTGCAGCAGTCCAGGAAAGCATCATTACTATCCAGAACACCTTGGAAAAATGGAAAGTTGGGCTTGGATGCACTCACATTTGTTTTTAAGCAGGTGCTCTACCTCTTGAGCCACACCTCTAGCCCTTTTAGATCTGGTTATTTTGGAGATAGGGTTTTACTTTTTGCCCAGGCTGACCTGGACCACAGTCCTTCTATTTTATGCTTTCCACCATAGCTTGGATGATAGATGCATGCCTCCACACCTAGCATTTTTTCATTGTCATGGGGTCTACCAAACTTTTTTGCGCCACTGGCCTGGCACCACAGTCCTCCCAATCTCAGCCTCCCAAGTAGCTAGAATCAAAGGTGTAAGCCTCCAGCACGTAGCATCTCAAAGTTTTGAGGATGATGATAAGTTATGTTTGGAAACCATGGTATCTACCCATATTGCCATTCATTTAGTGATTTTAATTTCATAAGTAAATCATGTTTAATGGAGTTTCCTAGTCAGGTAGGATGGAATGACCTTAAATTTGAGGTCATATCACTGTCTATGTCTATTGTTCATCCATCTACTCTCCCATGTGACTCTTTTGAGCCTGACCAACAATTTTTTTTTCTGAAATGGTTTAAAAGCATAAAGGCAAAAAGAAATTTTGACTATGTTTTATAAAATCCTTCATGTCCCAGGAAGTAAAATGTGAATGGAACTGGAATTGCCCATGACTGCTTCAGTCAGTAACTTTATACATTTTTTCTGTTACAGAAAAGGTGTTAAAGGCATAACAGTACGGGGTGTGGAGTTAAGAGCCAGGTGGCATTGTAGTATGAAATTGACCATTCCTGGTTGGCCAGTTCTTCTCTAGACATAGATTATAGTCTGTGCTACCATATATCATATTCTAGTGATTAAATGCATTAAGGATCATTACCACAATAGGTGGTGCATTTATTTATAACTCCTAAAACATGGGAATTTATTGCCTCTGGCTACATTTGTTTCCCTTATATCACAGTGGTGTTTCTGTAATTTAATATGAATCAGAGCTCTTCTGTATGTTTTTCAATAAAATACATTTCTTAAAATTTACCTTTAAAAAACAACTTGTGTAAATTTAAAGTATTTTACACACACACACACATCTTTCCCTCAAACTATATTCAAGCAGAGCAAACAGACATTGTACACACTCATGGGATACTTCAATACATAATATATAATATGTAATGATCAAATCAGACTTTATTCTTCATTGAAATAATTGTATCCTGGTGATTTCTACTTTTCTTCAAAAATACATATTTGACTAAAAGGGCATCTTAAAAGATTTTATAATGTTAATACATTAGTTTCTCACTATTGTCCATGTTACTTTTGGATTTCTTACAGTGCCTACACCAACCAATGTTGTAATTAAGTCTTATAACTTGGACCCTGTCCTGTGTTGGGAGTACCAGGCCATGGCACAGATTCCTGTTTTTACTGTACAAGTGAAGAACTACAAGTGAGTGTTGCTTTTTTTATCCGTCTTACTGTTTTTATCTAAATCTTTGCACATTCCACAACTCTCTGTGCTCAGAAAGCTGGACTTTTTACAGAAGTCTAGAAGCATGAAGAATGCAAATTAGTTTTTTGCAGAGTACTTCCTGCCTCTTATTTCTTCCTCCTGTCAACATTGAAGTAGAGAAATCTCACTAACTTCAAGGTTCTTTCTCTCTAGTCTCTTAATAAAGCAAAATTTATTAATTTTTTACAAAGAGCAACTAAACTATTGCAATGAGTGGAAGCAAAAGGGAACACCACCTTGACAGAATTTAGCAGTGACTCAGAATCAACAGTTACAGCCCATGTCATCCCAAACTCGAAGAAAGATAGCAGTATGATTGCTTATGATTTGATTGAGGTTAAAAATTTTTGACAGGCACACTACAAAGTCAGTGTTTGTAGATACAAAACACCAGAACATGGTGACTTTTGTCTCGTTATTATTGACATGTGGCTTGGGCATTTGACTTAGGTGTTAGCCCTCAGATACCCTTGCACAAGTTTTTTAAAGTAAATAATCAGGGGGAGAGACTTTCTGAGGATAAGAACATCCCATAACCCACTGGTTATTTCCATTATTATTGTGATAGGTGCAAAATTCATAATTTTTTAAAAGATTTATTCCATATTTCACTTAGTAGACTGACAAACAGTTCAAAAGTTTAGACTGGAGATGTGGCTCAAGCAGTAGAGCACCCACTCTGCAAGCATGAAGCCCTGAGTTCAAACCCACAAACTAACTCTGTTTGAAAACTAAAGAAAATAAAAGACATTCTCATATATTACTGGCATGAGTACACAATAGATCTGGCCTTGTGGAAGAAGTTGAAAGCATTTCACACAACTTCACATATTTACTTCGGTTGTTTTGGGTTTGTTTTTTGCTTTTGGGGAGGGCGGGGTATTCAATTGTTTGTTTGGTTTGTTTTGGTTTGGCAGTTATGGGAATCAAATCCAGAGCCTTGATCAAGCTAGGCAAGTACACTACTACTGACCTATGTCTCTGTCTCCCATGCATTTGCTTTTTGACTTAAGTCCACTTACCCTTAAAGTACACTGATAAAAATACAATTTAAAGAGCTTACCCATGTGTATGAGATTGATTGAACAAGTGACTATTCACCACAAAAATGGAGTACTACGTAGCTTTAAAAAATGAAAATTTCCAGTACTTGTATGTAGTTATTTCTGAGATATATTATTAAATTAAAAAGAAATTAAGCTCAATAAAGTATATATAGCATACTCCTTTGAAGGTAAGAAAGAATGAGAAGAAATATTCATGTAGGTAATTTCTGAATTTAAACAAAAGAAATACAGGAAGTGAAAATCTGAAGCTAATGAAATTGGCTCCCTACAGGGGAAGGTAGCAATGACATGGAAATGGGAGAATCTCCTGTCCATCTCTTCCTTGGAGAAATGCTGGCTCCAAGGCTGAGCCAGGGGAAAGAGGAGGTTTTGGTTTTGGGGAACTTAGGGGCTTTTTGGTTTATTTTAGTGGGATATTTGTTGTTCTTTTGTTTTTGTGGTGATTGAGCCCAGGGCCTCATGCACACTAGGCAAGAGCTTTACCACAGAGCTACACCTCCAGAATGGGAGAGTACTAGGCAGCTAAAAAGTCCCCTTGTGACAGAATTTCTTTAAAAGTTGATGGGGTCATGTCAAAAAGATCCAGGAGTCACCTTGACTAGACTCTCTGGCCAAAGATTGAACAGTTTAAGTAGCAATATGAATAAGAACATACACATGGAGATAAGAAAGGAACCCATGTCTATGTTATTATTAAATAGTAGTCATAATAATAAATGGACAAAATGAAAAGCTCTTCCATGAACAAATAACTTCTAAGATTTTAAGGCATGGCAAATGAAGCTAATAGTTAAGATGCCATCCTATTCCTATAGTGCATGTTTTTTTTAGTAAAAAGATAATAAATTTCAAAAAATTGACTTCAGAATCTTTGTAATGTGTTTGATCTTATAACTGTGTCACACCTATGTTAATGGAATGAAGAATTCTTTATAAAGCATATTTTAAATATTTAAATAGGAAATGTGGTTTGTATAGGTCTTCTATTTTGAATTGAGCTCTCTTTATTGTAAAAGAATTTGTAGTACAAACTAAATATCCTTTATCTCAAATGTTTGAGACCAGAAGTGTTTAGTATTTCTGATTTTTTTCAAGATTTGGGAATATTTGCATATACATAATTAAATACCTTGGGGATAGGACCCAAGTCTAAACAGAAATTCATTTATGTTTAATATGCACCTTATACACACAGCATGAAGACAATTTTATATAATATTTTAATTTTATGCACAAAACAAAGCTTTATGGTGTAGAATTTTCCTCTTGTAGTGTCATGTTGGCACTCAAAGTTTTGGATTTTGTAGCATACTGGATTTAGGATTTTTGGATTGAGGATGCTGGACTCATAACAAAAGAGTAAGAGCTTCCTACTTTGTCTGACTTCTTATTTTAACTCAGCTTTTCCTAGCCACTCTTTGCTGTGAATGAAAAGCAAGGCACAGTTCAACATTATACGGTAACAACAAAAATTATCTCTGTATTTCTTTATGGTGTTTCATTTTAGGAGTGGGGTATGGCTTGATGCCTGCACCAACATCTCGCTTCATTGTTGTAGTATTTTCCAACGAGTTGTTGACCCAGCAGATCCTCTCTGGGCCAGAGTTAAAGCTAGGCTTGGACAAAAAGAATCTGCCTATGTAGAGTCAAAAGAATTTACTTTGTGCATCCAAGGTAAGTAGAATGTATACATGTGTAAATTTTAAATTTGAAAATGCATGTGTCTTCTGTGTTTTCATTAACATATGCTACAAATAATCACAATGCCTAAGAAACACTGGAGGAATTCAGAGAATCACTATCATCCCTGTCTCCCGAGCCCCACAAGGAGATGCCTTTCACTTGGACCCTTCTGAACCATCAGACTTCTACTCTTCACAAGCCTGGATCACTGCTGTCCACTGCACTTAGCACTTTCCCTCCCTGTCTGCTTGATTTATTTCAGTGTTACATTTGCAGAGGAGTTTGTTACAGGGCTCTCATTCGTTCCATCTCTGCTAAATCCTTAAAAACTCTTGAGGATTTTCATAGCAACTTAATCTGTTAAAAATTTTAGAGATCCTTCATCTCTCCAAACTCCATGATTTTCAGCCCCTCACTCTTCTAGCATCCCACACCATAGCATACCTCATCTCTTCCATCCCCATTACCACCAACTCCAGAAGCTTCAGAATCTGACCATGACATCCCCCATGGCAATGATAGCCTCACTTGGAGTAGAAGAGCCTTTAGTGGCTTGCCTTTCCTCCTGGGCTAGTCCTTCCGTGCAGTCTGTTGCTTCCCCTCATCAGCTAGTCCTTCGATGACTTTCCTTTTATCTTCACTGCCTTCCCTGTTCAGCTTCTGTGCTTTGCTGCTCCATCTACTGCCTTGTCCATGATCTCCACAGCTTTGACTCTGCTTCTGCTTTCTAATTGCGCCACCTTGGGCTTTCCATGGTTCTTCCTCTGCTTGCCCTGTATGTATTTTGATTACTCAGAGCTCCTGCTACTGTCATCTGATACACACCATCTATACATCAAATTTGGCCCTCACAGATTTATCAAGGGTGTTCTAAGTACCAGAAAGTATGGCAGGCCTGAGATACATGGTTAAGGAAAAATACAACTACCTTGCACACAGTAGGTGACAGTAGATATGTGAAGCTTAGATAATTGGTTCACCAGCAAAGTCCCAAACATCAGACACATCGCCAGTTCTTGTGAACAGTTGAATGTCTATCTGCTTGTGATTTCCACAGTAAAAACTGAGCTGTTAACAAACTTTTATAGAGCCTCCATATCAGGTACACTGACTTTCAATGAGAGAAGAGAACTAGAAACCTTTTCATAAACAGTTTTTGGAAACTAGCTTTCTTAATCTACAGGAGAAAGATAAGTATTTAATAGACCTTCTATTACATCTGCATTTATTTTTACAACCAGATGTATTTCCCTGGAGCTACAGATGAAATTAAATTGCTAAGGAGGAGTTTGGATAAGAGAATTTCTTGCCTGAGATTTATTAAACATTTCTTTATGAAATATATTTAGAATGTCTTCTAGATCTTTATGGAGTAGCTTAAATGTGGTCCTTCTTAGAAAAAAAATAGAGTGAGTTGGCTGATGGATTTTGATGATTTTATGAATTACACTAGGAGTTCCAAGACCAGTATTAATTGCACTTCTCTCTCTGGCAGGAGAAATTGGACCACCTACAGTAGCTCTCAGAAGGAAGGAAGACCATGTCATTGTTGACATATTTCACCCATTAGTCATCGTAAACGGAGAAGTGCAAGGAACCATGTATGATGATGAAAATGCCTGCTACATATTCGAGTACAATGTGTATGTGAGAGTGAATGAAAGTGAGGTATGTGTTTCTATTGCCTCATTTTCAAAAATGGAAATTATCCTGTATTAGCCTAGGTTGTTTCTTTATGTGGTATAACAAAGTGGAATAGTTATGAATAGTCCACAAGATTCGTGAATCATGATTTTTGTTAAGAAGAAAACTGCCCGAGTGCTGTTGAACTTACCTGCTACAGACTTAATTAGCACCACTGACCACATGAATACATTTAAGGTTTTTCTTGGCCTGGCGCTGGTTGCTCATGCCTATAATCCTAACTCAGAGTACTGGGAGACTGAGATCAAGAGGATTGCAGTTGGAGACCAGCCTGGGGAAAAGTTCAGGAGAATCCATCTCAACCAGTGACTGGTGCAGTGGCATGTGCCTGTTATTCCAAGCTATGTGGGAGGCGGAAATTGGGAGGATTGTGGTTCCAGACCAACCTGAGCTTCTCAGTGGGAAAAAGCTGGGCACGGTGCTACACTTCTGTCATCCCAGTGATTGTAAGAAGCATTAAGTAGGTCCTAGTTCCACATAGGGTTCCTCTTGGAGCATTCCTTACTCTCAGTTACATTTCTTTCTTATCCTCCTCTACACTAAATTTTAAGGCACCACCATACTACCTGTATTAGTCATCTTCGTGTTACTAAAACAAAACACCTAAGACAACTTCTTAAAGAAAAGGTTTATTTAGCTTACCCTTTCAGAGGTCCAAAGGCATGGTGTATGCAGCTGCTTAGTTCTGGAGAGGGTAACCAGTGGTAGCACAGCACAAGTAATTGTATCTCCTCTATTTTTCTGTACTGGGGATTTAACCTATGATCTGACACATACTAGACAAGCACTGACCTATACCTGTAGCCTAAGTGGTTCCATCTCAAACCAGAGCAGAGGAGAGTGGGCGAGACTGGGTTCTCATAATCTCTTTTAAGGACATGCCCCCAGTGACCTAAGGACCTCCCATAAGGCCCTAAGGTTCACAGCACTTCCCAATACCCCCACACTGGGACCAATCCTTTAACATGTGGACCTTTGGGGATCACTACCAAGACACAGCAACACCTTTGTCTTCAGGCCATAATCCAGGTGATCATGCGCTGAGGCTGGCTGAGTGGATGGTGAGGTACCAGTGCTTCAGTCACTTCATCTATCACTGCAGCCTTCGTGTAATACCTCTAGTGTGCTTCCTGTAAATGCTTTTATCTCTCTCCAGCTAAATTGTAGCACTCTAGGAGTAGAGTAAATGAATATTTGTTGATTTAACAGCTCATAGTGAACATTCCTGCTGCTTGAGGCTCCCATAAAGAACATTTTAATGGATGCATATCATCTTGCTATGTGGAAGTAACAAGGGGAATATTCTTTCTATCAAAGCTGTTCAGAGATGTATAATATTCACCATGCATGCATTTGCTTTAGGTGTTTGGCCAGGATAAGCACACTGTTTACATTAAAAAAGCCATGTTTTTTTCCCCTGTCTAGACCCCAGATACAAAGCACGTGCACCTGGAAGACGATTGCAATGAGACCCAGTGCCAGCTGAGTATCCCTGTGTCCTCCCTGAGCTCTGACTACTGCATCTCTGTGCAAGGAGTCTCCCATAAATGGGGTGTCACCACTGAGAAGTCCAAAGAAATTTGTATCTCCATTTTAAATAACACCCTAAAAGGTAAGTTCTTGCCATGTTTTTCTAAATACAGAATTTCAAACTAAAATACAAAAAGAGGTAAATTCATTTTCAATTTCAATAAATCCCTCTTTCTTCACAGAAGCTCAAAATTAAATATCAGTCTGTTTCTCAGGCATTAAACTACACAAAACAATTTAGAAAGCGATGTAATAACCTTTTGACCCAGGAAAGAAGGAGTACATAGCAAATATGTAAAATTATGTGCAGAATGTGTGCATTTCAGATGTTCACTACAGATAATTTGTGATAAAGCAAAATTTTCTGTAGTCCGATAAAGCAAAATTTTCTCTAGTCCTACCACCCAAAAAGATAACCCATTACTCACAATTCAGAGTCCCCTTCCCATGGCATTTTCTTTGTGATTTTTCTACGCAGCCATGATTGTATTGTAGAGTATATAATTTTGTATCCTGCCTTCAGTATGTACTTCAGATATTTTAAATTTTTATTTGCAGTGTCTATAGAATATTTTATTATGTAAATTATATTGTTTTTCATTCGGTGTTCCGTCATTTTGAACTGCTCAGATTATGTAAGGTTTCGCTGCTAAATCACACCTGTAGATTGTGTAGATGAACACATTTTGTACTTTGTTATGATGTTTTTCAGTATCTTTTCTGGGCTAGACAATATGCTAAAAGGTTATAGTATAAATGCCTTTTTTAGAAAAAAATAAACACAGTATAATTTTTCATGGGAAATTTCCATGTGAAAAAATGAACTTGAAAAAGGGGAAAAACATTTCCAACAGGACAAAGTATGAATACTCTTTAATACGAACAGGGAAAGCCTGGGCATGTCCCGAGCAGTAGAGCACCCGCCAAGCAAGCACGAAGCCCTGGGTTCAATGCCCAGTATTGCCAAAGCATGTGTGTATATGTGAAAGCAAAACACATTTCAACATCAGATCAGTACAAATAATATGATCTCGATGAAAACCAGGAGAAGGAGTATAGATCCAATTTGCTACAGTAATACTTTAAGAGGGGAAAAAAATGTCAAATTGAAACCCAAACAAAACTGCCTTTTCATTAAGATTCTTAGGAAGCCAAGTTTAGACTAAAACTATCTAAAAACTGAGCCAGGTGCAGTGTGTTGTGCCTATAATTCCAGGTACCTAGGAGGCAGAGATCAGGAAGATTGCAGTTTGAGGCCAGCCTGGTCAAAAAGCAAGACTCCATCTCAATAAAAAAGCTGAGCATGGTGCAACACACCTAATAATCTCAGCTATGAGGGATGTCAAAGGTAGGAGGCTCTTGGTCTAAGGCTGACTCCTGGCAAAAATGCAGCCTCCTACCTAAAAAATAATTAAAGCAGAAGAACTGGGAGTGACTCAAGAGGTAGGGCACCTGCCTAGCAAGCATGAGCTCCTGAGTTCAAACCCCAGTACATACCTCCAAAAACAAAAAAATCTAAAAACAGAAAATTTTGCTATGATGGACCTTTAAAACCATATACATTTTTTTCTAACTTATCAACTGTCTTTAAATGGTGAGATTTAATACTTCTGCCTACGATTATCAGTAATAATATTCATTCCATTTAAACTTTAATGATCAGAGAAAAGAAGATACTTTGCTTAAGATAAATACATCCCTTTGTTCAGCTGTCTCTCAAAGTGCTGTCCTTAGCTTCACTTGTTTTGCAGTAGTTAAATTAATATAGTACAGTTATCTTGAAAACGTAGTTGATTAATATCAGCTAACTTTATGGCCACACAGAAGTACTGAAAATAGTCACTGTCTGTAGAAAATCAAGGTATATGTTTTGTTTTTTATTAATATGTATTATTGTAGATATTGGTGTGGCTCAGTGTGATATTTCCACACATGGTTATAGCACGCACTACCTAATCCAGCTTCCCCATCCACTCTCCCTTCCTTCCCCCAACCCTTCCCAACATCGATTAGTCACTGTTCTGCGTTCAATGTGAAAGAGAAATGCTGTACTTGTCTTGTGTCTGGCTTGTTTTTCTTAAATGATGTCATCTAATTCCATCAGTTTTTCTGCAAATGACAGGATCCATTTATCTGCTGGGTTAGCACCTACCCTGATTATCGTAGCTATTGTGAATATGCCACAATAAACACGGGCATGCAAGTATCTCTTTGGTGTGCTCATTTTATTTCTTTTGGAGATGGGATAGCAAGATCATATGGCATATGTATTTTTAGTTTTTTGAGGAACCTGCAAACTGTTCCCCTTAATGGTTATACTAATTTGCATTCCTAACAAAAGAGTATGAGAGTTCCTTTTCCTCCACATCTCTGCCAGCCTTTTGTTGTTACTGTTTTGGAAATAGTCACTCTGGCTAAGATGGTGTCTCATTGTAGTCTGGATTTGCATTTCCCTGATAGCTGATATTATCAAGCATTTTTTCATGTATTTGTTGACCATTTGTATTTCTTCTTTTACAAGTTTCTATTCAGATCATTTGCCCTTTTAAAAATAGGGTTGTTTGGACTTTTGTTAAGCTTTTTAATTCTTTATGTATTCCACATTAACCCTCTGTCAGATGAATAGTTAGCAATTATTTCTCCCATTCTATAGGCTGTCTCCATTCTGTTGATTGTTTCCTTTGCTGTGCGAAAGCTTTTTAGTTTGATGAAATCCCATTTGTGAATTTTTGCTTTTGTTTCCTGTGCCTTTGGGGTCCTGTCCAGAAAATCTTTGCCCATATCAATGTATTGAAGTTTCTCCCCTAGTTTTCTTCTAGAAGTTTCAGTTCCGGGTCTTAGATTTAGGCCTTTGATCATTTTAGTTGATCATCGTACAAGATAAGAGATAGTTTTAATCTTCTGTGTGTGAATACATAGTTTTCCCAGCAGCATGTTTTTTGAAGAGACTGTCCTTTCTCCAGTGCATGTTTTTGGTGCATTTGTAGAGAATCACTTGGCTCTTGCTGTGCAGGTTTATCTCTGGGACCTCATTCTGTTGTGTCTGTTGTTATGTTTTGGTGACTGTGACTACAAAGTCACAGTCTTGAAATCAAGTATTGTGATGCCTCCAGCTTTGTTCTTTTTGCTCAACTGCTGTGGCTATTTGTGCTTCCATATGAATTTTAGGATTGTTTTAGTTCTGTGAAGACTAAAATTAGTATTTGGGTGAGAATTACATGAAATCTATAGATTATTTTGGGTAGAATGGACATTTTAACAATATTAATTCTTCTAATCCATGAATATGGATCTTTTCAGTTTTTTTTGTTTTGTTTGTTTGTGTGTATATCTTTAATTTCTTTCTTTAATTAAAAAACCAGTGTTTTGTAATTTTCGTTGAAGAGATCTTTCACTTCCTTGGTGAAATTTACTTGTAAGATTTTTTTTAAGCTGTTGTGGATGAGATTGTTCCATGATTTCTTTCTCAGTAAATTTGTTTATTGTTGTCATATAGACAAAACACTAATTTTTGTATTTTAATTTTGTGTTGTACAACTTTACTGTGTCCCCACTTACCATTTCTAATAGTTTTCTGGTCTCTAGTTTTTCTATATGAGAATCATGTCTTCTGCAAACAGGGATGGTTTTATTTCCTCCCTTCCTATTTGTATGCCTTTTGTTTCTTTCTCTTGCAAAATTGCATTGGCTAAAACTTCTAGTGAGTGTGGACACCCCTGTCTTGTTCCTGATCTCAGAGGAAATGCTTTTACTTTTCCCCCATTCAGAATAGTATTGGCTGTGGGTTTGTCATCCTTGGTCTTTATTCTGTTGAGGCAGGAGATGTTGAATTTCTGCGTCTGTTGAGATGACCCTATGATTTATCCTTCCTCCTGTTGATGTGATGTGTTGCACTTACTGATGTGGAACCACCCTTCCATCCTTGGAAAGAAGCCAACTTGATCATGGTAAATGATGGACACAATTTGCTAGTGTTTTGTTTAGAACTTTTGCATCTATGTTCTTGAGGATACTGGGCTATAGTTTTCTTTTTTGTTGTTGTCGTGTCAGTGTTTGGTTTTAGTAACTGATGTTGGCCTCACAGAATGAGTCTGGAAGGGCTCCCTCCCTTTTTGGTTCTGTAGGGTAGTTTGAGAAGAATTGTCATAGCTCTTTGCAACTTAGGTAAAATTCAGCAGTGGAGCCATCCAGTCATGGGCTTTTCTTTGCCAGGAAACTTTGTTAATGATTCTGTCTCATTGCTTGTTATTGATCTTTTCTGGTTTTTTATTTTCTTTTTTTAATGTTCTGTGGTTCCATTTTGGAGGTCATATGTGCCGAGAGATTTATCCATTTCATCTAGGTTTTCCAGTTTGTTAGCATATAGTTTTTCATAATAATCGCTAAAGTGTCTTTGTATTTCTGTAGTGTTGGTTGGGATGTCTCTTTTTCAACTTTAATTTTATTTAACAAATACCTTTTTTGAAGAATGTGAATCTAGGCTGAAAACACCCAAAATTCAATACTAATAACTTTCAGACCATTATATGAAAGTTTCAAAAGGTGAGTTAAAATAATACACCTATCCCAGATCTAAGTTTTTTAAAAATCCTGACTGTGAAAAAAAAGGACTAGTATGAAGGCCGCACTGTGGCAGCACTGTGGTCCCTGAGCAGCCATCACTTCCTCAGGCCATGCACACTGTGCTTCCGCAGCCCTGGGGGATTTCTGCCACACTGCTGGTATTCATTATGTTGCTATTTTATTTTTTACTGTTGTAATGATTTAATTTTTCCACACACTATAATTGGCATGATGTAAGCATTCATTAGGCAGTAACTTCCAGTTAGTATTTCAAAGAAGCAACTTTGGGGTAGAAACTAGAGATAGTAAAATGCCAGAAAGGAGGCAAACACAGCCACAATATATAGAGTACTGTTATTCTTTATAAGAGCGGACCATGAAAAATGCTAAAGATTGTTCTGTGAAAATAAAAAAGACTTGTAGAGCAAAGTACACAGTGATGATAGCTGCTTTATGTGCTCTAACCCAGATCTTCCCCGGTTTCTACAGTTACTCTTTATATCCTGTTTGTAATCAAGGACTTTATCCTCTGAAACAAACATTGCTATGTGTTTTTGTGTTGTGTTTGTGTGTGCATGTGTATGTGTGCGCACATCTGTGTATCTTTGTAAGGATTTGCAGTCTTGAAATAAAAGTAGCAATGCGAGAAGTAGGGCTAAATTATTTTAAGTAATCATATTGGCAGAATTAATTTCTTAGGAGAGTTTTAAATATTTTTCTTTCGCCTTTTTAATTGAGAGAAAAGGGTAAGCCTGGAAATACCCTGTTGTTGTGGCTGTAAGGAGGTTGTTAGGAGGTAACTATTTTGACTCCGCTGTGACGTGGCTGTGTAGCTCCAGGAAGGCTCAGACCTATGGAGCTGGGAAGAATCAGATTGCTGTCTAGGAGAATACCAAGAGCTTTATTCAGATTGCCTGAGTTCTTTTCCAGTGCTCTCTTAAGCTGGGATCATATCAGTTGACTGATATGCATATCTGTTAAGGATCAGTGCTAACCTTTTTGATGAATGGTAGCAGATTTCTATTTTAATTCTAACGTGTGACTTTTCTTTGTTTAGATTCTGCTTGGATTGCACTTGTTGCCACTTTCCTCTTTCTACTGCTTGTCTCGGTACTTGTATGTCTCCTAATTAAGAGGAATCCATTTAAGAGAAAAAGCATCATGTTACCGAAATCCTTGGTAATGTATTTAAATATATTTCTTCAGGTTTATTTTTTTTTTTTTCTGAATGTTACATTGAACCTTTTTTGACAGTTTCTTCAATTTTATTTCTAAAGCAGAATGATTTCCACATCATTCAGGAGAATGACATGACATGCCAAACATCGTTACATTTAATCTTAATACAGTACTTTTCATTAAAGAGAAGGAATCTTTCAGTCTGCCACACATCCAAAACTACATTTTGAGCTGTGCACCAGGCCAGTGCAGTGAGAAGCTTAGAGTCTAGTGGGAAGAAATGATTAGTATTTGAGTAGCTACTGTGTGATAGGTTCAAAGACAGGCTTAGAGAAACGCAGTGAGGACTCCATGCAGCTCTGGTGGGTGGTGGTCCAGAGGCAGTGATGTCTCAGCAATCTTCAGATACTTAGGGACAGTATATAGTAAATCCCAGAGTCCAGAAAGCCTGGTTTTTGCAAAAAATGCAAAACTTTATTATGGTTGAAGTCTCCAAGGAAAGAGGGCCAAAAATGAGACTCTCACAGAAATTCGATACTTAAATGCCTAACATTTTAATCTTTTGAAATGATGAAAAAAATATTTAAATATAACAGAATGGTAACTATCTGAATCAAATATGAGGAGAATAATATCTGTGCCAGGCACTGGTGGCTCTCACCTGTAATCCTAGTTGAGATCAGGAGGATCACAGTTCAAGTCCAGTGTGGGCAAAAAGTTTGCAAGACCCCCATCTCAACAGAAAAAAAACTGGGTGTTGTGGCACACACCTGTCATCTTAGCTAAGAGAAGAAGATGAGGTTCGTAGTCCAGGCCAAGCTGGGCAGAAAGTGAGACCCTATCTCAAAAATAACCAGAGCAAAAAGGGCTCAAGTGATAGAATGCTTGCCTAGCAAGCACAAAGTTCTGAGTTCAAACCCTAATACCATCAAAAAAATAAAAAATAATAATAATATCTGTGGTGTTCAAAGAGTGCGTTGAAATTTGCTGTAATAAAAAGACTACCTTTAAGTAAAGTGAACAAGAACTATCAACAGTTAATAGACAACTCATATGTGAATTATAATAGTCATCCTTACTAGTAATTAAGCACAAAGCCACCTTGTATTATGCCATTTTATGCTCACTAGAGCAATAAAAACAAACCTGACTGTCTAATACTACTGCTGGTAGTAAAACTGATATTTGCCAGTGGAAAGTAATATAGCCTTGGTAAGAAGGTGAGTATGCATGGATGTCCAGCGTCATGGTGCCATAAACATGCCGTGTCCATCAAAGAAGTTCTTCCAGTCTGTTATTCTAAGGGAACAATTTCATAAATAAAAAGACTGAAAGATTCACCATGTTCTGTAGTAGTATAAATTGGAAATGCTTTATTAAAGAAATGATCAGCATTAAAGAAATGATCAGTATAAAAATAATATATGAGTTGCTGAAAATTACAACAATGGAGGTAAATAATAAAACTTACATAGAATAAGTATTTGTGCTCTCATTGCAAAGTAACATCCATCCATGTGGAAGGTGATATGCACAAAGTATATATTGGTAAGATATTAAGTGACTTCATTTGTTTTTAATCTTAAGTACTTTTCATTGAAAAGAAAAAACAAACACATCATTCAGTTATGTTATCCTAAATATGTCATTTGGTAATCTATTACTTTCAGGGCTTTTTTTTTTTTTTTTTTTTGAGAATAGACATTTAAGTTTAATAATTTACTTTCTTTACTCACTTCTCCCCATAGCTGTCCGTGGTAAGAAGTGCCACTTCGGAGACAAAACCTGAGTCTAAATATGTATCACTCATCACATCATGCCAGCCATTTGTTCTGGAAAACGAGACGATGATCTGTGAAGAGCAGTCATCTCCAGAAACGATTCTAGCCACACCAACAGAAGACGGTCCAGGAAAAGCAGGACATGAGGGATGAACTCTCTAGTGAAACACAAGTGGTGATTGCTGAAGAAAATATTCCTGATCTGACCCCTAGCAGCTCTCCAACTCCAAAAGACAGGGAGAATTCTTTCACTTCAAGTAGTAACCATTCAGAACCCTGCAGCTTCACCTTAAACTCCTATCACTCCAGAAATGGTTCTGACAGTGGCCTCGTGGGATCAGACAGCTTTGTGTCTGACTCCGAATTTCCCCCAAATAATAAAACTGAAATAAAGACAGAAGGACAAGAGTCTATAACACTGAGAAACGCCCCCACCAATTTTGGTTATGATAAGCCACATGTGCTCGTGGATGTAACTGTAGGTGATGGTGACAAAGAGACTTTAATTGGTTACAGACTTACATCAGATTCCAAAGAGTTCTCGTGAGATCGGCTGAGGTGCACCAACTTTGAAGTATCTGCATTTCCTGGTGGCTTTTCTGCTTTGATTTCATAAAAGTGTCATGCCGTCAGACATCGTGTCTTGGTTGATACTCACCAGATGGAGTATCTTGCTTTAGACAAATGTCTGATAAGTGCCTGTTGGCACTGTCCCACGTGATCTGAAACTATGAAGACTTCAAAGCACCTGTGGTAGCATGTGAACCTTTCCATCCACGGTAGCAGTGGAACTGTCCTGTCAGCCTGGCATCCACCATAGCCAGTGACACTTCCCATCACTTCAGAATGTATTGTGGAGTTTTTCCTTTCTGTGCCTCATTTGTGCTGTTTTTGTAAGTTTTATATCTATAGTATTTTTAAGTCCTTAATTCTGAGAGCTTTTCAAAGTTAGATTTAAAATCTAATTCAAACTGATAGAATTAATAGGGCATATAAATAGAAACATGTACAGATTTTTATGGAAAATTACACAATTTTATGGAAACAATTTTATGGAAAATTGTTTCAGAAATAAAGGATTTAAAAACTTTGTTTTGGTATTCATTTATTCATATACTTGAGCAGTCTTTCACAGTTAACCAGAATATTTTTTTATCTATTGTTTGTTTCTATGCCTTAATCCTATGGAAATACTTTCTAATTGTTTATACCTAATTTTTAAAACAATCTGAAAAAAAATCTCCAAAAGCAGTCCCTTTATGTCTGTTTTTCAGTATGCACCCAGTCCCCTGTTCCAAGTGGTTTGGGAAGAAAAGCAGATTTCTCTGTCAAGTAGGGGATTGAGTAGTCTGGAGCAGAAGGTGGCGGTCACAGCTGTGGGTTTGGAGGGAGGAGCCTTGGCAAGTGTCTTATGGAAAGAGACACCTCTGTGAGCAGCAAACCAATAATTAATTCCTATCTTACAGGAGTTCTTGGAATTACTAAAAGGATAGAAAAATTAAGACTCACATGAATTAATGGGCAAAAAAAATTTAATACAGTTAAGTAAATTAGCAAACAAATCATGACAAAATATTTCTCCTCACTTAAAAATGCAAATTAAAATGCAAAGTTATTTTATTCTATTTGTGGAAGGAAAAAGATAGTAGTTGATACTGGCGTCATTTGTATGAAATTGTTATACTCACTTATATTGGGGTCAGTGTCTTGTGAATTGCTTTTCAAACTGCTGTGCTGGTGCATAACACATTCTATAAAAGTACATGTCCTTCAACAGACTTGGATCTCTCGTGGAAGATTATTTTTTAAATCCTTGTAGGATACACACATTAGAATGAGAACATAAAAAGCAAAAATATGAGAATAATTGAAATAGCCAAGAAAAAAGTCATAGTTACTGGCTTCCAAAAAGATGACATATATTGTACCATGCATCAGTCCAATCTTTACCTCTTGTCGAATGCCATTCTCCCCTGTGGTCTGTATGTCCAAATCTCTTAAAGACACTAGTCATTGGATTAGGCCCATTCTAGTTCAGTGTGACCTCATCTGGATTCCATCTGCAAGATACTCCATATCCACAAGGTTCACATGCATAGATTCAACCTAACTGTGAATCAAAAATATTTGGGAAGCAATTGCATCTGTGCTAAAGGTGTACAGACTTTTTTTTCCTTATTACTGTTCCCTATTTACATAGCGTTTACATTGTATTAGGTGTAACAAGTGATCTAGGGATATATGGTTCTTATGCCTAATAAGAACCAGCTTAGACACTAAATGCCAGCATTGTTTGCATGGTGTTTGGTGTGCCTCATTCGGGAGGGGTAATACTTCCCCTGCATGGTCCTTCTATGCATCCATGTTGTGGAGCTTGATCCCTTCACCACTTTCCACCAGACCTACCAATCTGGAATGAAGAATGAATGAGCACATGAGTGCCTGTAACCCTCTGATGCAGATGAATGACTCTTGTAGCTAGCTGGTGAGGCTAGTACTGTACAGCCTTAAAATTAAGTTTCAGAAAGAACTCTTGTCAGGAAGAGGATTTTGTGAATTAACACAAGTAGAAATATTTTTAGAGCCCAAAGGTCTTAGAAATACAGCATAGTAACAACTCAGAATTCAAATAAAACATTGAAGAAACAGGGTTGGGGCCTTACGGAGTTAGGGATGAGAGAGGTGCCACAGAGCTTGGGACAGTTGCAGCCCAGAGGTTATGGAGTCAGATAAGAGTTGGCATGTGGGAGCCCAAGGCCCAGGATGGTCCTAGGATAGGAACTCCTCTGGGATGTGGGTTTGACTGATGGAGGGACTTGAGGCAGGGGGAAAGAAAGAGCCCTCCGAATTGAGGTAAAACCCCTGTTTGGGGGAAATGGTATATTTAAATGGGTTCATTATAGAGTAAGAGACCTTGGAATCCAGTGAACTCAATGAGTTCTCTGGTTTGTGTGGGCATTTGAGAGGGGATGAGAAATGGCATCATACAATACAGGCTCCTGAGTGTCAGGATAGAACTTCTGTGCAAGCAGATTAAGTTCCGAGAAGTATATTTTGAGGGACTAGAACTTGGGTTTACTTCTCTCTAAAACCCAGGGTTTTGCCACTGTCATCTGATTTCTCTAACTTTCTATATATATATAAAAAGGACCACTAAACCTTCCACTTGTCTTTGAACAATCTGAATATGTGTCATGAGTTATTTAACTTTGAAAACCCAGCAACCACATCCAGAAATAGCCATTGGTAAGGCTGGAAATACAATTTAATAAGTTACCTATAGTGGTCACTCAATTGCCCATACTGTTGCACTAAAATTGTTAAGTTATGATTTTATAATGCAAAGGATGTTTTCACTACTCTGAGGCTTGTGAGAATTTTCAAATTTTGTTTGGAGACAGAGATATCCCGTTGGACTGATACACACCTGGGCAGCTATCTGGCCATATTTTATCTTTGTTCTTTCTTTTCCTCTTTTTACCTTCTGGTTTTTTTTCATTACCTTTGTTCTCAAATTACCAATTAAATTTCAAGTTGAATAGTACATGCTAATCTATCTCTCTGTGCTTCAACTCCAAGAAATCAAAGCAGTGTAAGAGGGGGGATTTCCAAATTGGGCATGGTCAGCATCTTTTACTTCTCCAAAATTCATGAAAAAGTAACAATAAGAATTAAAATTAAACAGTTCCTCCACTTGGAAAATTTGATCTTAATACTCTCCTCAAAAACCCTTGGGTCAGAAAAAGAAATCCAAATTGTAGAATTACTAAATTAAAAAAATAATGAAAATACCACATTTCAGAACCCTGGAGGAGCCTATGGGATACATCTCATGGTAAATACCTGATGGGAACAAATCAGAAGCAAGGAGTTTCATTTTGAAAAAACACTAACAAGTTAAAAAGAAGGAAAACACAAGGAAAGAATTTTATTTTACTTACTTGTTTTGGTGGGGAGTGGGGTTTGAACTCAGTGCTTCGTGGTTGCAAAACAGATGCTCTTCCACTTGAGCCATACCTCCAGTCCATTTTGCTGTGTTTTTTTTTTTTTGAAGATGGGGGTCTCTAGAACTCTTTGTCCAGGTTGGTATGGAAAGTTGATCCACCAAATCTCAGCCTCCCAAGTAGCTAGGATTGCAGGTGTGAGCCAGCAACAGAGGCTCAGAAGGAAAGGTTGAAGGAGATAAGAATGAGACATGAAATTTTTAAAAATTAGAATGCACGACTTATTATAAAATCCATTTCTTGGAAAAAATTTAAAGTTAAATACCCAATTTACTACAAGTACAATAATAAAACGAGGAACAATATAATTACTCAAAATAGGAATTATAAGGGGAAATGAGATAAAAAGGAAATTGAATAAATCATAAGGGAATAACTTGCTCAGCTCTATGCAAGTAAATGTAAAGGCATGAATGAGACAGGTGATGGCACACACCTGAAATCTTAGCACTCAAGAGGTTGAGATAGGAGAATCACAAGTTCAAGGCCAGCCTGGGCTACATAGACAGACCCTGTCCAAAAGAAATAAAAAGTATGAATGAAATAGATACTTTTCTAAAGAAAATATAATTTGCAGAAACTGAGTGTAAATGAGATAGAAAAATCTAAGCAGACTTAGTTACTATAGAATTAGACCAAGAAAAGTGCCAAAGAACCTCTCCCACATGCTCCACTCTCACTACCCAGAAAAGCCCCAGATGTTGTCTCAGGGAAACCTCTCCAACCCTTACAATGTAGATAATTCCTGCTTTCACAGACCATATTGATCAGCTGAAGAGTTGGCTGTAGCACCATGTCATTTGCAAAGGCGAGTATTACCCACTCAGTTGTCTTTCAGTAACTGAAAAACCCACAATGACCTCTCAGGCCAGAGAATCTCAGGCCCCTTCCTCAATACTCCCACCCAGATCATAAAAAGCACAGAAGCAGTGGTTCACAGTGGTTCACACCTGTAATCCCACTTCTCAGGAGGCAGAGGTTGGGCTTATCATAGTTGAAGGCCAGCCCATGCAAAAAGTTCAGGAGACCCCATCTCAACCAATACTAGCTGGACGTAGCACTACATGCCTGTTATCCTAGCTATGTGGGAAGCATAAGTAGGAGGACTGTGGCCCAGGCTGACCTAAACATAAACAGGAGACCCTAGTCAAAAATAACTAAAGTTAAAAGACCTAGAGGCATGGCTCAAGTGGTATAGTACCTACTGTGCCCAAGTTCAAACCCCAGTACTTAAAAAGAAAGAAAGAAAAGAGCAGAAAACTATCCTCCTGTTCTTTTAGCTTAAATCATGCAAATGCATGTCAGCTGCTAACACCACATTTTCCCATTGAATCCCTAAATTTGTGCTAAGTGCTTGCTGTGGTCCCAGCTCCATCCTAGGTGGGAGGGCAGTGAAAGGTGGGGAACCAAACAGGGACCAAAAAGCACAAAGTCCCTGACTTCATGGAGCTTATATTCTAGTGAGAAGCATAGACATCAGGATTAAGATACAACATAGCCTATCAAATGCTAGTGAGTGTTATGAGCACAAAGTAAACAGGAGAGGCAGACAGCTGGTGGGGGAAGTACAGCTTCATGCAGTGTGTGCAGAAATCCCCTAAGTCCTCTAATTAGGTAATATCTGAGCAGGGACCAGAAGGAGGTGAGGGAGTAAGCCTGGGTCTCTCAGGAAAAGCATTCAAACAGAGGGGCCAATTCTGGTGTGGGGATGTACCCGGCATGCTTAAGAAATGACAAAAAGTCACCCAGGCTTGCGTGCTGAGGTGAGGAGGAGAGCTGACAGGGCACAAATTTAGAGGTAATGGGGCGCATTATAAAGGGCCAAGTAAAGAACTGTACAAACTGAATTTCATTCTGAATGAGCTGGGAAGACATTGGAGTGTTCTCAGCCAAATGATCTAATCTCACATGTAAAAGGCACCCTCCTTCAACGCAAAGGTCAGTGGTAAAGACAGGGAGACCAGTCATGAGGCTGTGGCCAAAACCCTGCAAGAGATCCTGGTAGCAGGAATCCAAGGTGTTGCAATGAGGAAGTGACACTGTTTGGATTCTGGTTATACCCTGAAG